AAGCATTTATGGAACTGTTTCTTTTAAATAAAAATGGGCAAAAAGGCCCTTAAAAAGAAGCGAGTTGCTGTGTGCTTTTGAAAAGAAAAGCTCTACCATTTGAAGCGAGATCCCACATAAGACATTTTGGACAATTTAATGCTCCCAACTTTGTGGGAAGAGTTTGGGGATGGCCCCTTCCTGTTCCAACATGACTGAGCACCAGTGCACAAAGCAAGGTCCATAAAGACATGGAGGAGCCAGTTTGGGGTGGAGGAACTTGACTGGCCTGCACAGAGTCCTGACCTCAACCCCATAGAACACCTTTGGGATGAATTAGAGCGGAGACTGTGAGCCAGGCCTCCTCCCCCGACATCAGTGCCTGACCTCACAAATGTGCTTCTGAAAGAATGGTCCAACCTTCCCATAGACACCCTCCTAAACCTTGTGGACGGCCTTCCCAGAAGAGTTGAAGCTGTTATAGCTGCAAAGGGCGGGGCCAACTCAATATTGAACCCTACGGACTAAGACTGGGGGGCCATTGAAGTTCATGTGCGTGGAAAGGCAGGCATCCTAATACGTTTGGCCATATAGTGTGTGTGTATATATACAGTTGTGTTAAAATAATAGCAGTGTGTTGAAAAAAGTGAATAAAGCTCAAAATCCTTCTAATAGCTTTTATTTCCATCCACACAAATGCATTGGGAACACTACACATTATATTCCAAATCAGAACATGAAGAAAAATAGATCAAATTTGTGTTGTTCCTCTAAAAAAATTGAAGAAAAGTGAATATTAGACGGTTCAAAAAAAATCGCAGTGTTTGTATTCTTCTTTACAAACTCAAACATTCACTATGTAAACTGAGAAATGTTTGAAGATTTTGCTTTCCTTTGAATGACTTCATGAATATTTGGTTGTAGTCGCACTGTTTCTGAGAACTGCTGTACATCTGTGTTGTATGGAGTCACCCAACTACTGGCCCCTGTGAACAGGTATTCCAGCCCAGGATGATTGGACTACATTCCACAGTTCTTCTCTATTTCTTGGTTTTGCCTCAGAAACTGCATTTTTGATGTCACCCCACAAGTTTTCTATTGCAGTAAGATCAGGGGATTGGGCTTCACAGTGTACTGTGGCTTGAATTCAGTGTTTGGGGGGGTCGTCTGACAAACTGTCTCCGGCCACTAGACCCAAAAAGAACAATCTTACTTCCATCAGTCCACAAAATGTTGCGCCATTTCTCTTTAGGCCAGTCAATGTGCTCTTTGGCAAATTGTAACCTCTTCAGCACACGTCTTTTTTCCAACAGTGGGACTTTGCGGGGGCTTCTTGCAGATAGCTTGGCTTCACATAGGCATCTTCTAATTGTAACAGTCCTCACAGGGAACGTCACACCTTCTTTCATCTTCCTGGAGCTGATTGTTGGCTGAGTCCGCGCCATTTTGGCTATTCTTCTATCCATTCCAATGGTAGTTTTTCGCTTTCTTCCACGTCTTTCAGGTTTTGGTTGCCATTTTAAAGCATTTGCGATCATTTTAGCTGAGCAGCCTATCATTTTCTGCACTTCTTTATATGTTTTCCCCTCCAATCAACTTTTTAATCAAGGTACGCTGTTCTTCTGAACAATGTCTGGAACGACCCATTTTCCTCAGAATTTCAGAGAGAAATGCACTGAACCAGCATGTACAACATTTGCTGCCTTCCTTCCTTAAATAAGGGCAATAATTGCCACCTGTTTTTCAAAGAATGTATGACCTCACTAATAGAACTCCACACTGCTATTATTTTGAACATGCCCCTTTCAATGAGTGATTCAATGACACAGAATCAGCAGCATGCATGTCATGACTGTTGGGTCTGTTGGATTTCTATTACTCTACTACACCTGTTAGTAAATTATTTGCCATGTAGAAATATCATTTCTACCAAAAACAGTGATTGATCCGGTTAGTGATGTCTGACTGCTATTATTTTGAACACAACTGTATATATATATATATTTTTTTTTTTTTTTTTAGAATCCACCTTTAAGCCTTCACTTGATGTGACATTAAGCCTCTGAAACCATTTGTGAGACTTCCTTCCCTGTCAGCATTAGAGATTGCAGATGTTGCGTTGGATGCAGCAGGAGCATGTTGTGGAATGGGGAGATGTCAGAAGTGAGGAATGAGGTGCGGTGCAGGCCTTTTGATGGTGACTTGTCTCATTGAGGTGCTGCTGCCACCACAGTCTGTGGTGCAGAGGCATATGTTCTCTCAAGATGTCGTACGCAGATGGCTGTTGGTACATTTACCATGGCTGATACTCTGCAGACCACAACTGTGCTGTCAGCAGATACTAGAATAGGTCCACAACTTAGAGCTATGTGGACTAGCCCTGTGGATAGCAATGGTCTATATTTATGTGGAAGTGATGTCAGGAGGATTAGGATGGCAGTTCCTTCAAGTCCCCTGCAAGCTGCTCCTGCCCCTGGAGAAAATTCACCCTGGCTAATATTTTGCTTGTCCCTCAGAACTTTCCTCCTCTCCAATCAGAGACGTCCATGGACTGTCTGCCAACTCATCATCCACTTTCCCCTCATTTCTTGAGCCAACTTTGCAGTAACTTCTTTCGCGTGGGGATCCAAGATTGGATAGCCAGATAGGAGGAAAGATACATGGAGATACGAGTTGCAGCAAAGTGCATTAATGTGAAAGTTCCAACAGTCTAGGTGGAAGCAGTAAACTGGTAATAGCGCACAGAAAGAACTTTACATAGAGTGACAATCGCATGCCAACAGTGCCTGGCAGAGGAGGTGGCTTACAGGCAGTGATGCAATCAGGATATCTAATGAAGAGGCTCCACACTGATGAACTGGTGACCCATCTATACTCTACCCTAACTCCACTGGAACCTCTACTTTCACTAGGCAAACTCATCCTAACCAGCGAGTTTCTTTCCCTGTCCCAACCTCACACACAACACATGCCATCTGTAGGGAGTCATGGCTTTTATAAGCTTCACGAAAGATGGCGCAGTCATCCATGACAACGGCATCCAATGGAACAGCCACCCACCTGATGACTCCTACGTAGGCCTAAGAGGAACGTGAGTTCCTCCTCTCCTCCACCCTCCCTGCACAGGTGGTGATGTCAATGTGACTTGTGCAGGGAGACCAAACTACACCTGTCTACATTCTACTGCTGGAGCATCACTTCTTCTTACTGCTTCCTGCCTGAGGTCCCCTTCCACTTTGGTCATGGTGCTATCTTCCTCATCCTCAATATCTGGAAAGTTTGTGCATGACCAAACTCATCCTCCTGCAGAAAGTCATTGATCTACTGTACAGCGCTGAGCATACCTTTTGGCGCTATATAAATACTGTATAATAATAATAATATAATAATCTTGTAGTCAAATAATTTTCAAACTCTTCATTGTCAAATTGCAGGCTATGGCAGGGGAGGCATATGAGGAGGATGAGGAAAAAAAGAGGGTGCAATAGGAGAAGTTAAAGACATCTAATCCTAACAGATTTCTCCATCCAAGCTGAATAGTGCATATGGACTAATCTACAGCTGAGGCTATTGGATTCTGGTAGCCAGTGCCAGAGGCTGCCAGAATATGGGCAATGTCAATCAGCTGCAGTCACTAATCGGCCAATAAGTATCTGCCTGACTCCATCAAATTTTGGAACAAAAAAATGTCAGGTGACAGGGTGTCAAAAGGACCACTTACAGCTCAGATTTCAGTCAGTTCATCAGAGATCACCTGAACTTTGATCAGCATATGTCCAGCCTAAAGGATAAGTTCATCTTTTGACAAAAAAATAATAAATGCACATTTTTTTGCAGGTAAAAAAATTGTATTGCAGGAGCCTGTAAAGCATTGCACCAGCAATCAGCAGATCGCTGGTGTCATGCAGGTCTCCTGAAGACCTGTCAATGTATCAGTGTACTTGTATCTCGTACAGGCAGGCAGATACAAACTGACAGGAACTACCACGGTGCTCCTCAGTGCCATGGTAGTTCATTGTGAACAGCTGAAAAGACTGTTGGAACCAGGGGCGGACTGACAACTCATGGGGCCCCCGGGCAATAGGGGATCATGGGGCCCCTGTGTCCTCACCCACACTCAAACCACACCCAAAAAAGCCTATGAAAGGTACCAGGAGCATATCATGGGGCCCCTTACTGACCCTGGGCCCTTGGGCAGTGCCCAAGTTTCTGAATGGTCAGTCCGCCCCTGGTCGGAACTTGTAGTTTCCCATTCACAGAATACTATGAATGAGTGACCCAGCCGTGTGGGGCTTTGTCGGTTTTTTAAAAAAAAATTGTGACAACTAGCATGGGGAGAAGATCCCCCACTAGCTGTCAAAATGTGGAAGCGAGGGTCGGCCCTTTTATAACATGTTAAACCCTGAATATGGGTAGCACAATATAGCAACGAACTCTCTTTACACAGTCTCAGACATCTGCTCTCCCTAATCTATTCCAGTAGACACTGACAATTGGCTTCAGGGAGCCCACCCCCTTATAGTGAAGGGGCTGGCATATAACAAATCCCCCATTATTAGCCCTTCTAAGTCATCTGGCCTATGTTCAAAAAGGCCATGCAGTGCATTATGGTTATAAAGAATTCAGTTTGGCAAATTTCCTAAATTCCCTGGAACTGCAGACTTCAGGCGATGCAGGGTTTGCCTTGAACTCATGGGAGCAGCAAACCCGGACTTCATTCCTTTGTGGCAGCTTTCTCAATTCTGCTCTATCAAAACGAGAGCTGAAATTTTGTTGGTTGCTTCTCTACCCAGGGGCGGACTGACAACTCATGGGGCCCCCGGGCAATAGGGGATCATGGGGCCCCTGTGTCCTTACCCAAACTCAAAAAAGCCTATGAAAAAGGTACCAGGGGTATCTCATGGGGCCCCCTACTGACCCCGGGCCCTCGGGCAGTGCCCGAGTTTCCAAATGGTCAGTCCGCCCCTGTTCTCTACAAATCTTTATCATAAGCGTGGTGAGAGGAGGCAGAGAGGACTTACCTGTAGCTGCTGAAACCAGAGCCAAGTAAACGAAGAATCTCTCCATCCTCTGTCCTGGATATTGGTTGGTACCATGCATTTCAAAGTCGGCCTGGTTCCATTGTTTTATAGTTACTTTGTCTCAATCAGTATGACAGTATTGGTAAGTATCATCTTGGCTCTCATTTACCAATTACTGTCTCTCAGTCTCCCCAATATTCACCCCCTGAACCACCCTTTATCTTTATCCCCTCTCTCTTATAGGCTATCTTGCTCTTCTTCTCTTTTCTGTTTCTTTTCCTTTCCTTTCTTCTTTCCTTTCCTTTCCTTTCCTTTCCTTTCCTTTTCTTTTCCTTTCTTTTTCTTCTTTTTCCTTTTCTTTTCCTTTCTTTTCTTCTGTTTTCCTTTTCTTTTCCTTTCCTTTCTCTTTTCTCCTTTCCTTTCCTTTTCTTTCCTTTCTCCTTTCCTTTACTTTTCTTTTCCTTTCCTTTCTCCTTTCCTTTCCTTTTCTTTTCCTTTCTTTTCTTCTGTTTTTCCTTTTCTTTTCCTTTCTTTTCTTCTGTTTTCCTTTTCTTTTCCTTTTCTTTTCTTTTCTTTTCTTTTCCTTTCCTTTCTTTACTTTTCTTTTCTTTTCTCTTTCTTTTTATGTCCCTCTCTCTCCCCTCTCTTTCACTCTTTCTCCTTTACCTCTTCTTAATTCTCCACCCCTTCTCTCCAGCACTGTGTATCACACTCCGTCTTTTTCTCCAAATCCTCACCCTCTCGGTCTCTCTTTTGCTTAATCCCTGTCTCTGTCTTACCGCCTTTTGCTCTGTTTCTCCTTTACCATCTATCTTCTCCCCCTCCTCTCTTTTCTATTTCTCTCACTTTGTTTCTCAATCCCTTTCTTTTCTTTCTCTTTCTCCTCTCTCTCTCTCTCGCTCTCTCCCCTTCTTTTTCTTTCTTTCTTTCTTTCTTTTTCTTTCTTTTCTTTCTTTCTTTCTTTCTTTCTTTCTTTTCTTTCTTTCTTTCTTTCTTTCTTTTTCTTTTCTCTCGCCGTGTCTCTCTCGCACTCAGTTTCTCTCTCTCTCTCTGCTGCCTAATACACCAAGGACTTCTATACAAAAACTCCCTGTTTCCTTTATACACAGAGCACATGATCACTAGGGTGCATTGCAACAGACAGGAAACGACAAAACACGAATTTGAAACCCAGCAACCCAGAGACAGTGTGACAAGAGTGTCAAGAGTCACAGAGACAGTCAGAGACAGAGGGAGATGTAAGAGAGTGATGATGACAATGGAGCGAGCGAGTTTGTTCTTTCTCAACACCCTGCTGGCTGCGGCAGTCACAGGTACAGTCTGAGTCTCTTCTCTGTGTGTTCTCTCTATATGTAAACTAAAAGGATACTGAAACTATGTATCCATATAAGTATTAGGGGGGACTTCAGACAATATTTAGTATTCTGATTTAGTAGTCAAGTTCTTACGAACAAAATTACATGTGCATTTTTAATGTTCTTTTTTCCTAATGTTTACGTGGAAATATATTTATAGCAGCCTAATCCAAGTACATTTTCCTTCCCCAGCAGGGGCGGACTGACCATTTGGAAACTCGGGCACTGCCAGAGGGCCTGGGGTCAGTAGGGGGCCCCATGAGATGCCCCTGGTACCTTTTTCATAGGCTTTTTTGAGTTTGGGCAAGGACACAGGGGCCCCATGATCCCCTATTGCCCGGGGGCCCCATGAGTTGTCAGTCCGCCCCTGTTCCCCAGTATGTGGACCACTTGTCCGGCTTTGTTTCTGGTATATTAGTTACAGGCGATGGGCGCAGTGGGAGAATGACACCTCTCCCTGCGGTAACAGATCATTGCTGTAGTTACATAGTTATATATAGGGGATGACTTACTGAAGGTAAATAGACTGTGCGCTTAATAAATGAGGTGAATCTTCGCTTTGCAAAGAATATCCAATCACATGCAAGGAAAATTTAAAACAAAACATTTTTTGCTTGCACATGATTGGATGACGGAAGTCAGCAGAGCTTCCCCTCATTCCAGCAGCATAACTAGAACATTCAGGGTCCCTGGTGCAAGAAATCATGAAGGCCCCCCCCCCGACCCCTGGCTGGGGCCCTTCCCTCTGAGCCTGGTGGTGGAACTTCAGGGCTCGGTTGCAAGTGCGACCTTTGTGACCCTGGTAGTTCCGCCACTTGTGTCAGTCGTTTTTTTTTATTTTTGTTATTTTTTTTAATTATTTTTTTACCTTTTTTATTTATTTATTTTACAATAATATTTTCTACAATTTTGTACAATTATTTTAGGAGCCTTGCTGGGTGGGCTTTGGTGAGATATCAGGGTTCTAAAGAGACCTATAATGTTTTACCTTTGAGACAGAGAAAGGAGATGGAGGATACAGCCCTCAATCTCAATCTCCATCTCTGCAGCCTCAGCAGTGCAGAATGAATGGGCAGGAATAGTCCTGTACAGAGCTTCCCGTTCATTCATAAACTGAAGCGTAGTGAATGCAGTTTACTATGCCTCACTTATAAATAGACAAAGTCAGTGATCAGTCACTGGTTCTCCATTCAGAAAAGGAAAGGGCTGGTAAATTAAACATTTACTGGCCCCTTCCTTGCTCTCCATCTTGACAGGGGAGGGTGAGGGAGGGCTGGGAAGGAGCACAGGGGGGCTGGAGGCTTGGGGGGGGGGGGGGGGCAGCAGAAAGAATCTGGATAGGAGTAGTGGTGGTTGCATAGAGAGGAACCAATTTCTCCATTTTCCTCCTGCAGCCACTGAATGCCTGCTTCTCCTTCTCTCCCTCCTGCAGGCATTCAGCAGCTGCAGGAGGAAAGTGGAGAGATCAGTTCCTCTATATGCAGCTGCTCCCACCGCTCCTCTTATCTAGGTGTACAGGGTGCAATTGCAGCCCCTGCAACCCCTGTAGGTATGCCCCTGCCTCATTTACTAAGCTCTGAAACAACTGCACTTGCAAAGTGCACAGTCCATTTGCCTTTAGTAAATCAACCTCATAGTGTTCTATTTCTTGTTGATAACAGCAATAAAATATACAAGATAAAAACATCCCTGACCAGCTTCAGCATATCCAAAGTTGAAATAAAAAGAGGAAAGAATATAAAACTATAATAATAGTCACGTTAAAATAACTAACAAAAGGTAACTATGCCATTATCTCCTCCAGGGCTTTTTTTCTCAGAGAATAGGTGCATAAACTCAACCACAACCCCCCACAACCCACCTCCCCCCCACAAGCACCCTCCAAACCGCATCAAATAGTGGGAGTGGCCAAATTTCACTAACAGTGGGAAGGTCATAATGGGGCATTAAATACCAGGAGTGCATTACGTACAGAGTGCAGATTTCAGGGGTGTGCTACACACAGAGTGCAGAGTTCAGGGGTGTGCTACACACAGAGTGCAGAGTTCAGGAGTGTGCTACACACAGAGAGCAGAGTTCAGTGGTGTGTGCTACACACAGAGTGCAGAGTTCAGGGGTGTGCTACACACAGAGTGCAGAGTTCAGGAGTGTGCTACACACAGAGTGCAGAGTTCAGGGGTGTGCTACACACAGAGTGCAGAGTTCAGGAGTGTGCTACACACAGAGTGCAGATTTCAGGAGTGTGCTACACACGGAGTGCAGAGTTCAGGGGTGTGCTACACACAGAGTGCAGAGTTCAGGGGTGTGCTACACACAGAGTGCAGATTTCAGGAGTGTGCTACACACAGAGTGCAGATTTCAGGAGTGTGCTACACACGGAGTGCAGAGTTCAGGGGTGTGCTACACACAGAGTGCAGATTTCAGGAGTGTGCTACACACGGAGTGCAGAGTTCAGGGGTGTGCTACACACAGAGTGCAGAGTTCAGGGGTGTGTTACACACAGAGTGCAGAGTTCAGGGGTGTGCTACACACAGAGTGCAGAGTTCAGGGGTGTGTTACACACAGAGTGCAGAGTTCAGGAGTGTGCTACACACAGAGTGCAGATTTCAGGGGTGTGCTACACACGGAGTGCAGAGTTCAGGAGTGTGCTACACACAGAGTGCAGAGTTCAGGAGTGTGCTACACACAGAGAGCAGAGTTCAGGAGTGTGCTACACACAGAGAGCAGAGTTCAGGGGTGTGCTACACACAGAGAGCAGAGTTCAACCCTCTTCCACAGCTGCTTACTTCTGCATTGCCCATCCACATCCCATCTGACCTCTGCACCCAACCTTCCCCCTCCAATGCCCCTTTCCCCCCCCACCACTAAAAGCTCCACCATCTTGCACAAGTCTTACTTTTGTTGCCGTATTAAGCTGAAGCATTTCCCCACACACTGTAGGCAGCTCCGCCTCTCTCACTTGCAGGGGGATCATCCAGCACAGGCGTCAGCATCCAGATACCAGGGAAAAAATGGAGATCACAGAGGGTCAGCCTACTACGCAATGCCTCCCTCCTGTCCATGACCTCACTGCACCCCTCTGCATCTCCCTTGTCCCTGTCCTGCACTCAGTGGGATCTGCTGAGGAGATCAGATATGTGGGAGCCATTGGGAGACAAGCTGTCACTTGTAAAACACAGACATCTGTGTTTCCAAAGATAATGGTGAGTAGGAAGCAGAGCCAGAGGTAGAGGAACTACGTTCCACCAAGCTCCAGCTGAAAAAAACCCTGATCCACTCCCTCCTATACTGTAGGGTCAAACGTTAGCAGACATCTGATCATCACACCTATATAAACCTGTTGGACAATCCATTCCAAAACCAGACTCTATGTGATCTCTATTTTTCCCGAGTGTCTGGATGCTGACACCTGTGCTGGATGATCCCTCTGAAAGTGAGAGGCAGAGCCACCTACAGTGTGTGGGGAGATGCTTCATTACCATGGAACTGGTCTCCTGCTGTGACTATAGCATCTTCCAGATTTTTTGGAAAGACTTTGAAGGTTTTGAAGCCTGTCTGTTGGAATTTGGGCCTAATTTAGCCAAAGAACATTGTGAGGTCAGATACTGATGTTGGATGAGAAGACCATGGGTAGGTTTATAGCTCATTAAGGAGAAGGCCCTTGGCTTGGTTGGATGGCTCTCCAGCTATTGCCTAATTGTCAGCAGTTAGTAACTTGCAGTTA